ACATGATAATGATTTGACAGTCGGGTCACATTCCATACCAGCAGAATGAGGCAGGAATCCTGTATCTGCAGTAGGGGAATACCTGAGAGAAAGGCTGTTCTGATTTCTTATCTGTTGTTCCCTTTTCTCCCAATGTCAAAGTAGACTGCTTGGAGGTCAGTGTTTTTAACATTTTCTCACTGGCTGGAGAGAAATACTGCATAGTTGTCTATGTAAATGCCCTGATACAGAAAATATATAGACCATTATTAAAGAGTATTAGCCTACTTTCCTATTTTTTTAATTACAAATTAACATAACTAAACATATACATCCTGACTAGAAAAATATGTCTTGACAGTGAGGATATACAGTACAGTATATTGTTCAAAGTGCTCACGGCAGCATGTTTTTTGAAATCACATCTCCAGTTTTCAGATTTTCAATGCTGCTCGTTTACTAAATGCTACTTATTTATGAACACAGGTAAGATTTCTTATAATCTGTCCACAGTAGCAAAAAGAAACTACATTTTATATTTTATCTTATTTCTTATTGGTCAATGATTTTCTTTTTTTCTATTAGTACTTCATACTATAGCACTCTAGTGTCAGACATACAATCATCACAATCTACTAAAAATTCTGAATATAATTTTAGTGAAGGTGAAAGCAGAAACCAGCCTGTGCCTATACATACCACAGAACAGACTGCTGTATAACCGCAGACAGTGGGAACATTTCAAACATAACATCCCCAGGGAGCACAATACCACTCATTTCAAAACGAAATAAACTTTGTATTTCTTTTGTGTCAGAAAGTAATAGTAGAATGTTCTTTTTTGGAAGAATGGTTGATATTTCAGGAGGAATCGTCTAATCTTACGGACAACACAGTATGAGACAGCAAAATTGGTCTAAAGGCTGCGAAACACAGCACTGAAGAATGCCTGGTCTTATTAATTGGCTTTGCTGGAGTGCAAGTGTGTCACAGCAGCAGAAATAAACATAAATAATCTACTATTGACATGTTAGCTGGTTACGCCTACAGCTCATGATACAAGTGCTCCAAATTCTGTGTTTATTTTACAACACTTAAAGGCAATTAGGACCTATTCCATCCTCACTACATAACAGTTTAGCAATACTTACTCATTGTCCTCTGGGTACAGTTTTTAGAATTATTATGGAAACATTGTCATTGATATGGCCACTGTTGAAATGAATGTTTTGAATGGACATCCCATTCAACAAAGAGTGAAAATAAATACATAAATTTATAGACCAGGGGTTGGCAACCTTTCAGAAGGGATTTGCCAAGAGTAAGCTCATGCACTTAATAATAATTGCTTACACGTATATACCGCAGAGTGATGAAGTCATTTCAGAGATGGGAATTATTAGGAGGCAATGATTGGTAAAGACCAATGGGAAATTTGGCCAGGATGCGGGGGTTACACCCCTACTCTTTTCAAGAAACACCCTGGGATTTTTAATGACCACAGAGAGTCAGGACCTCGGTTTTACGTCTCATGCGAAGGACGGCGCCTTTGTACAGTATAGTGTCCCTGGGTGAGAGTCCCCTGCTGGGCCCACTAACACCTCTTCCAGCAGCAACGTAAGTTTTTCCCAGGAGGTCTCCATCCAGGTACTGACCAGGCTCACACCTGCTGAGCTTCAGAGGGCTGCCAGTTGTGAGAGGGTTACGGCTACTGACAAGTAAGTAAGCCTTTCTCATCCCAGCAATAGACACAGTGGCCACTGATCTGAGAAGTGCTATCTAAAGAGCTTTCTTGTTTATCAATGAAACCCATAAAAGTAAAACTAAATAATATGAAGGATAACCTTAATTTTCAGGTACTGACCAGGCTCACACCTGCTTAGCTGAGTTAGTATGCATATTTTACCATGTAATCCTTGCCATTAGTTTCCCTTACTGACACTTACTGTTACTGGCAAAACGGAAACCCTGCGTGTTCATGTATGAAAATACCTGTCCATAGAGTTATGTTGATCCAGCTACAGTACAGAGAGCCATTTCCTTCAAACAGTCAAATTTCAACCAATTTTGCACTGTGCAGTCCAGGGTGGTTTTGACCTTCTTCTGACAAAAAGATCTTAATTGCATCAAGACGGTCCACAAAGCATGCCTAAACTTAAGGCTTAGCCAATGAACAAAATGTTTGTTTGACTTTACACTTACAGGAAGTGTGAAAACTGTTGCCAGTGGCTTTGATTGCAAGCCTTCCTGTGAAAACAATAGGCGAGCAAAGTTTAAAATAATGCAGTAAATAAACCAAGTAAATGTTGTTGTTTTTTGCCTGCGCTGGATAATTATCACTGGATAGCATGTTGTAGACAATTACAGAATAGTCAAGTGTAGTTTTTATAATTTATTTTAACTTAATTCCTTATTAGCTTAAAAGACTTTGATTGCATGTGCTATAAAAAATCCCTCTGTGTGCCCATTGTGGTACACGTACTATACATTATTGAGCCCTGATACAGACACACAGATAGTTTGTGCAGAGAGCTGACCTTTGGTACACACAGGCTGAACACCACAAGTCCAAAATTTCTCAGACAACCAGGTGTTATTGCCCACTGATCCACTTTCACCTCAATCTACAGAGATTTAGGGTATTTCAGTTCTGCCATTACATGTCCTTGTCATGAATCCCTGAGCATGTATGGGCTATTTTCAACTAATCTTGATGAAAGTGTATCGTATCCACTTTCTGTGATCTATCATACTGGTTCTGTAACAGATTCCTACAGTCCTAACGAACACGTTTTCTTACCTCCTACGCAGACTAACCGCCCCCTTATTGTGCCACAGACTAGCAGAAAATGGAGTAATAATAAGATCTCACAACTTGTGAGTGTGTTAAAATGAAATTCATGGTCTCTCTCTCCTCACTACAAACTCCCATAGCTCTCTGGCTGAATAAATTGTATCTCTTTATGAGGGAATCATTTTATTTTCAGTGCTACTCCTCTCTTTTTTCATTAGGTCTCTGGTATCGTTAGTTTTCTACTGCAGAGTGAGACAGAGGGCACTAAATGACATGCAGTTCAATTATGCACATCATTTCTTGTTAATTGCTTGAATGATATGCAAGGGGAGGGTGCATGTTTAACTCACTCAAAATTACCATTCAAATTTTGTACCTCAGCTTTATAAATGACTTACGGAGCTGAAAAGCTCCCATAAAGGCATTTCATATGAATTTTTAAGCAATGAATGATGCTTACACCTGCAAAACAGCAAAACTGAAATCTGTTTAAACAGTAGTTTAAAACTAGTGTGTTGATTTTAATTCCTTCTATTTCTAAATTACTGTAGAACCCTTTCTGACAATTCGCCTAATAAAGGTTTCACTACCAAAGGTTGATCATACCCATCATAAGAAACTTTTTCCTATGTGTGATATTCACTTAATGTTTTAACTACTGTTAGAACAGCTCAGTCAACCCTGAACATAAAAATGAACTCAAAACACTGCTTGTTATACTTTTGTGTGGCGTAACCTGCTGAATAAATAATACGACCTTTTACTAGGTACAATGAGTCAACTGTTTCTAAATGTTTGTATTGTGTTACATGAATTTACATGCCTCATTGTCTTCATGACTCACAGAAGCACTGTGCATTGGTTATTTGCTATATAAGCACTCTACGTTTATGATGAAAATGTGTTAGTACTGTAGGAAGAAAATGTTACTTAATAATAATTTGAATTTATTTCATCTGCGTTTCTGAAATGGTTTTTGATTTACTGTTGCAAAAAGGATTTTTTAAAACGACCTGTATAAGCATTTTGGAAAGTGGACACCAGTAAAGTACAGTAGATGCAGTGAGCATAAATGAGGTCAATGTGATCTGGTTTTGTGGACTCAAAAATATGTTTCTAAAACTGAGTTGGAGACAAGATTTTGATAAATACATACAATTTACTGAGATATAAAATAACACTACTGACCAATCTGCTTTGGTAACAACACAACAAAGACTAAAACCCCTGTGCAGACATTATTTGAATACATTGTTTTACTACTTCATCTATTTAATAGCATTTCTATATTATAGCAATACCAGTACTAGTTATTACTGAATGTTTTCACTGCAATTGGACACTAGAGAATACTGGAACCTGCAGGAGCAGTTATATGGAGTGTCTTGTAACCAGAAATGTTGAAACTGAATTCTATAAAGGGTAAGATAACACACAGTAAAATTCAGTAAAAATAAACAAATATGTTGCTTGTATAAGTATTCAGACATGTGAACTCAATGGTGCTTTGGCGAAAGCACCTTTGACAACAAATAGAGCTGCACTTTTATATGGGTAAGTTTCTACTAATTTTGCAAACCGACCTGGTGTAATTTTTGCCCACTCATCTTGCCAGATTTGCTCAAACTCTCTCAGGTTGCTTGAGGATCTCTTTCCACAGATTCTCAATAGAGTTCAATTCAGGACTTTGAGTGGTCCACTCAAATACATTCATTTTCTTATTCTTACTACTGCTATTACTTCTAATAATTCCTTACTTGCTTTTCTGCACACCCCACTCAATGAACTTTACAGGTAATGCGTAGACCCACCTGAATGATGCAATGGAAGGCAAAGTGCACCAGTACGCTCCCCAAACATCAGTGGGGAGGACAGCAGAGTGACGAAGCCAATTAATAGTGGGGATTATTAGAAGGCCATGATTGGTGGGGTAACACCAATACTCTCTTCAAGAAACACCCTGAGATTTTAAATGACCACAGAGAGTCAAAACTCAGTTTTTATATCTCATCCAAAGGATCGTGCCTTTTTTTAAAGTATAGAGTCCCCATCACTATACTGGGGCATTCAGTTGGTTGCCAGTTGTGAGTCGGTGTAATGGCTGCTGGAAAGGTGGAAATTCATGCTCGATTTCTACTTTATGCCTCACATAAGTAAAGTTAAGAAAAATAATTGTTTGAGAAAATAAGTATAAATGAAAATATATTGATAAATGTGGGGTACCTACTTCTTTGGAGCCAACTGGGAAATGAGATGTTTCCTTGAGAAACAGGAAGAGACCAGATGAGTATGCCCTTATATCAGATAAAGTGCAAGTCCCTCAGGGTACCTAAGTGGGAGACAAGGTGAAAACCTGTTAAGAGAGACTTGTATAAAACATATTTATATACTTCACATCTGGTTTTGGAGATAGCACTTCAAATACATATCACAACAATAAGATTATGTAATGGCTATGTTATTAACATTTTAAAACATTGCTATAAAGTACATAAAATGTAATCCCTAGATATACATAATCAGTAGCAAATCTGTTGTCTATTTTATACACTGTCTTCTCTTTCACAAATACTATACATATTTTCACAAAAAGCAGGTATTACAAAAATATGAAATATATGCATAAATAAAATGTCATTATGTTATTTTGAGATGCTGTGAAACCTTATGAAAACTCACATACAAGATGGAATTATTTGCAGAAACAACAAACTCCATCCCTTTGAAATATTTCATTAACTATAATCTTTCAACACCAAATGATTTCAACTGTAATTATTATTGTTTAAGTGTAATAAACCTTTTCAGAAGGACAATTTTTAAAATAATTTTGTATTGTCTACCACAGAAGATAATTCTGAATATTAAGACCCACAGTCCATGATGTAAGCCAAAGATAGTAAGGACAGTTTTTTTTTTCTCTTCTAAAATTAATCTTTTTTTGCAAACTAAATTTCCCATTAGAAAAGCATGTACATGAAGTTAGTTTGTAAATGCATGTACTTTTACCAAATGTAAAAAACTGTTTGGCACTGAATTGTGTCACAGATTGGAGTCATTCCATTTTCTCTACACAAGAGGTTGTGAACTTCATCAACTCAAGGTTTTCTTGGAACTAGAGTATGTTTCCAAGATTGATATTAGATAAATTCTCAAGATCCAAATACAACTACGGTACATGATATGATCACTGAAAGCTTTTTGTTAAAATATTATTCCCCTCAGATATTTAACACATAACCTCCAGAATAAAAGCAGAACAAATGTTAAGTAGCACTCAACACTTAACACTTAACAATGTTAGTAACACTGCTTGGTAACACTTCATTAGGACAAATATTTTTAGCAAGACATAAACTTAAATAGAGTTCCCTAACCACAGGCATTCCATGTGAAATAACGCCCTCACTTTCTTTAAAAAGACAATCCTGAGATTGAGATGATTACCATTTTCATTGACATTTACTCAACTGCACTTCTATAATCTTTAGGTAGATATTCCTCTTCCCCTCCTGTCCATAAGGCTACCGGTTTAGCTAGGCCTAAAACAAAGGAACATTGTAGTATTGATACTAATCCCCAGGACTGCCATTTTAACTTTTCCATAGACCAGGTAATACTTTTTGCTGGTGTTTTAGAAATGGACGGGCTGATTTTTTATATTATTGTTTTCCTGATAGGGTTCCCATTACTAAAGTGTTACACATTTCGTGCTCTGCAGTAAGAAAAGGATGGAGTCTACTCGAGCGTGTTACTTTCTGCGTAGTGGTACCTCACTACCTCAGTGTCTATGGCCAGACACAAACATCACAAACAAAAAACAGGAGAACACATTTTTATAATATTAGCCTATTACTTGTACCATGTTCCAGTGGGGACCTGCATAACACACTTTGGAATTTGTACCATACTGCTACGATTTTCTCTGAAATTTACTCTAACCTGCTGGCAAATTCGATTATTACAAATCTTATTTTTGTTATAATTTTCAAATTCCTATAATATCAAAAGGTTGAGATTCCTCAAAATGTAGGCTTTCTACACAGACCATGGCATGCAGAAAGTGTTATTAAATAACTTCGGCACATTATATTTTAAATAATTACAGAACTGAAAAGTTTGAAACACATAGGGAAAAAAACAGCTGTCTTACGTTTCTGTTCCTGAAGGAAGCAAACACTTTCATACAGGATTTTCTTAAAGTATCATTTGGAAGACAAACAGGTGTTCTGTGCATTCCTCTAAAGACTTCACTTGTTCATTCCCATGGGGGAATTTCTTTGCACTGTCCTAATCTCTCTCTCACCACAAGACAAATAATGTCACACCCTAATGAGCTCTACAAAGGAAATCAATGCAAACAGCAGCCCTTTCTGTGAATTTCAATGGACTGCAGAAGATAGAAGTATTTTGCCACTCAGCTAGCTCTCGTCATTGGCTGACAAGGGGCTGGTTTGATTTGCAGTGTCCCTGTGGTCTAACAGTCAGAACTAGGTTAGTAATACACACTTGAAAGATAGAAGGAGTACATCAAAAGGGCAAGGCAGTTACATTATCTCTTCTACACAGCAGCTCCACAAACTAAAAAGAAATAGTCCGCTGCCACAACTATTTTTAAACAGTATATATTGTTTGGCCATTTTTCCCTTAGACACACTTTAGCATCATTATAACTGTTTTCAGTAATACAATTCACAGTAGTTTCATAAAAAGTAGAGCAACAAGATAATATAAGCAAATAATCACATAATTGTTAGTATTAGTCATAGTGAAGCTGCTCAATGAATAGATGAGGCATGTTCAGGTTCTAAAGCTACAGACAGGAAAGATTCATTCACCTAGTGATCTGTATTCAGCTCCTAATGGTAAGGAATCCTATACTGTGGCATTCAAAGGAACGGGAAAGAAACTAAGGGACTATTAGTTCAAGTGAATCAGGAAAGTGTCACAAGGGGCCATGAAAGACCTACAATAGAAGAAATATGGGTAGCAGCGGTGGCTGTTGTTGTTAAATGGTAAAAAGTTACATTAGAACACAATCAATATAAGTCCTGGAAGGTGAGTGTGTTTGCAAGTTCTCTTAGTCTCAAATGCCCAACACATAAAAAAAGATACAATGTAATGGCCTTGATATTTACAGGTGTTCCCCGACAAGTACCAGCAATATATTTTAGAAGTTTTGTGTAAGGTGAAATTGAGTTAGTTGAACACAAATTCACCATACAAAATAATGTAAACGAGTTTCAAAATTAACACACTGATACATTTCACTGCTTTCTTACGACTAGATTATGATTGATGACATAAGTGTTGAGGTGGCAGAGTGGCACGGTGTTTAGCATTGTTGTGTCACAGTGCTGCGGCCCTGGGTTCATTTCCTGGGGTGCGGTCTGCATGGAGTTTATATGTTCTCCTCGTGTTTGTGTGGGTTTCCTCCCAGTGCTGCACAGTCCAGAGACATACAGTTAGGTTATCTGGATTCTGGGACAATTGGCCTTGATGTGAGTGTACGCATGTTTGAATCTATGCTGTGATGGACAGCTGGCTGGGATAGGCTCCAGCTCCCCTGAGATCCTATATTAAAGAGGTTAGGAAATGCATGCATTCCTATAACCTAAATCTCTTTACCCTGGGTTCTGACGGTTTATGAGGTTAAATGAAAGCTCTCTGGTGTAAAAGTGTAAATTGTTAAAAAAAACAATTCATTTGGTTTATTTATTGCACTATTTTTAGTGGGGCTAGCCTGTTGTTTTCACAGGAGAGCTCACAATCAGTACCACTGACAACATTTTTCACACTTAAGTCTAAAGTCAAACACTAAGCCAAGGGAGCCTGATGACTTTTTTCCTCACTTATGAGAATAATGTGTGAATTAAGTGAAACATTTTGGACAAGATAGTAATTAGTACTAGTAAGAAAGCAAAGTTAGATGTTCACTCATTTCAGCCCTTTAGGAGAGATGAATATGGATTTCGTCAACATAAAGGCCATCCCAGCCAGCTGCTCTTTGTTGTGAGAGCTCCGTCTGTTACCTACAATGACAATTTCCAGACAAAACACAACAAACACTTCAAATGGAAAAGGCTGAGTTGATCAAACTGGCCATAGTAAGGTACAGAAAACAAAATAACATCTTTACTAATTTCAGTGTAAGTAAAAATCAAGCCACAGTAGCAAAGTTATAAAATTGCATGGGACAGTTATGGCATACTTTGTGCACTGTCTTGATGAAATCAAGATCTTTTTTGTCAGAAAAAGGTCAAAATCACTCTGCATTCATGAAAAATGGGTTGCAAAACTAATGTTTAGACATTACCAACACATTGAATGAACTCCATCTGCAGGGTGCAGTCAAACTGTTATGGGTCTTTTCAAAACATGGAGGGCATTTCTTGTAAAACTTTCTGTTTTGTTGGAACACCTCAACTATTCCACTATTTCAAACATCTTAAAGAACGTTCAAAACATTGCACAATCTCTGTTGCCGAGATTGGAGTGTGCATGTGAGAACTGAGATCAGAATTTACTGTAAAATTTAAACCAGACAGCTTTGATAGCAGCGACATAGATTTCAAATGGATGGGTTCTGAAGACTTTCAAATGCAGCTAATGGAATTACAGTGCTCAGACTTATGAAACTCAAAGTTCTGGGATCCGTAAAACACACCTGAAGCTACTGAAAGTCAAATTTGACTGCTTGAAAAAAGTGACATTTTCACTACTCTCAGCATCTGGATCAACATACCTTTGAGAACAGGTATTTCCACACACGAAGTCCCTTCTACATCCCTCCTGTAGCTGGTTAACAACTGAACACTCAGAGGCTTGCATGCTGCTTAAAGTGTCAAGCTATAAGCCTGATATTGGAGAACTCAGCTAGGGAAAGCAAGGATCAAACTAAATGGTAAGATGTGTATTTTAATTATGTTTAATTATGTAAGCAGGGCTATTATTAACATTAAAAAAGTATCAATGGCACTCAATTCCATAAAAAGTGCATGAGCTTACACTTGGCAAAGCTGCCGATCCCTGAACTAGAAGGTGGTAATGCAGCTAACTTGGCACAGAAATAAAATGGATGCTGTAAGAAATTAGATGGAACAGTTAATTACATTCTATAAATGATCATTAAAATGTACTCAGAAATTTATGAAATTAAGAAAATGTTCGTAGTTTTACTGTGTACTTTCTCTATGATCATACTCCAAATATTGCCCTATGCATTGAACAAAATGTCCTGCTTATGGTGCACCAAGGATAAACACAAGGCTCTCCTTGCACATTGGTGATCAATTTAAGATTTTATGACATGCAGGGTCATATGTTATA